AGAGAGAGAGAGAGAAATGATCCCATAAGACCTTCCCCTACCCATGTGTGTAGGACCCCAAAGGATCATCATTAAAGTTGACACAGAACTCTAGAAAAGTTATCACATAGCTGTAGGATTTGACTTTTCTATAGATCTGTGCCAAATTTAAATGTGATCCTTTGGGGTCCTACATATATGGGTGAGGAAGGGTCCTATAGGATCATTTCAGATATATATAAGGAAATGATCCAATGCCGCGGTTGTATAGTAGTATAATGCAACCACACCTCTAGAAAACCATATTATTGACATGTTTACGACCCAAAATTTTGCACATACATTCTCTTCATCCTCATAATCAATCCCAAAAAAACAAAAATTCAATTTAGACCCTAGTTATGGTTAAAATTTGTACCCATCCAACAATGAATCTCGACCATCCATTTGATGAATTTCAAGATCTAGGCCTTAGCAAATTCAAAATTACTTTTTTCTTTTTTAGCATTATTAATATAATGATGATAACGCTATATAAAAACTTTGGGAATAAAAAAATGCTTCTGAGGCCTATATCTAACCATCTCAATAAAACTTTCTAGAAATTTTTTTCACAATTTTCTTTTTTGTGATTGTTGTTCAGAATGAAAAGAGTGTACATTTAAAAATTCGAGTGAAACAAATGTCTCTGACATAGTGTTTGAAGATGGTTGCATTATACTACCATAGAACCGTTGCATGAAATCATTCCCCATGTGTATATATATATATATAGGTCTATAATTTAAAATGAATATAATTTTAAATAAAATAAAAATAAAAATAATTTATGATCAATGGATGAAACTTTGTTTAATTTGAACCACTGCATCATTCCACTATCTACACATGATATAGATATGGGACTCCCTTCTCCTTTACATTGTTTCATATATATATATATATATATATATTTTTATTTATTTATTGATAAAAGTACTTACTTTTCATTAACTAAATGGGAATTACAATATATATATTAAAACATAACATATAACGTTATCAAATAATCCAGCAATGCACCTTTTCTTCGCCAAACTATTTACGATTCCATTTGTTTCTCTATACACATGATGAAGCTTACTTACGAAGACGATGTGAGCTTGCATTGCTTCGTCAAAACAAACAAACAATCTCAATCAAAATAAAAATCTTTTAAAACAATCAAAACAAAACAATCTCTTGATTTTCTCATTTCTATGATTGGCTATGCCCAAAATGAAAGCTTGGGCAGCATGGGTTAGGGTTCATACAAGCAGTCACGATCATGGAATTGTGTGCTCACCCAACCTTGTCCCTTGTGGCTTATTATGATCGTGGACGAAATCCTTTTACCATATGCAGGCAAGGACTTGGCCTTCTGCCATATCAACCGAGATAAAAATGGCGATGTGAACTGTTTAGCTAAATTAACCACATCTTGAGGTTTCTCCCTGTTTATCTTTTATTTTTTTTTGCTTTGTTCTTCTCTTTTTTTCATTATTCTCTTTTCTTTTGCATATTTATCCCTTATTTTTTCTCTATTTGCCTTTTACTTGCTTTTTACCTTTGTAATCTCATTTACTCAAAGACGTGGTTAGCATGCGGCCGGCCCGCATATTGTAGAAATGCGAACTTGATAATAAATATATATTTTAAATATAATTTGATTCTAATTTTTAAATAATATATAATCTTTAACATGGAGCTCATGAATAAGATTTATTATTTTTTTTGAAAACTAAAATAATAATTAATTAATTTTTGTTTGAACCGAGACTTGCAATATTTTTAGATGGATCACCTATTTGCATCCATCGATGCTTTATACTTATACACCGGATACTGTAGACATGTGGTCAAACAATTGTTCTTTACTTAATGAAGTTAATGAAGTTAATGAAGTTACTACTAACATTAAAAAATAATAATAATACAAGCACTCACATTAGGGGCTTCCCATTCAAACCCAAATTTTAGAATTGGGTGTGGTTTCCATATCGTTGCAACCTTAAACAATTCATTTAAGGTGTACCTTCAAATTTTATCATAACATATAATTTTAATCTAAAATATTATTAGGATTATCTCAAAATCTATTTTAAATTATAATTATAAAATTTTAAACTCCAAAAATGATTAAAATCAAATAGATTTATAAACGTATCAAAATCTTGAAATTAGACGGTCTAGATAATATGTTATAAGATGAACTATTTCTGGGATTCAAAATCCTGGTTTTTTTTCATAGTCCTATATCTCGATGTCAAGGTGATCAATTAGAGGGCTTTTCAAAATTAAAAGAACCTTTTGCTTATTGATTTTTGAGATGCATCCGTAGTTCTACATTTTAAGGTTGGAACCTTATATAAACTTTTCCCTTTAAAATTTGTACCCAATTTTGAGTGGGAAAAGCAAAAAACAATGGTGGAAATAGCAATCCCATACTCTTCCCCACTCCATTTCACCATTGATTCGTGCAAAAGCATGGCGGGCCCTTCTCTCACTAGTCATAGTAGGTGCGGTTGTTGGGTCTCTATGCAAAGGAAAAATATTTGGTGCGGGAAAAGCCCTCACATATTACTATGCGGGCCGCAGATCTACACGCTTTATCAAAACCGGGTTATTTCCAAACAAAAAGTAAAATCAACGGTTCAGATACTTTCTCAAAAGAAATATAATTTCCATTTTGTGAAATTTATTTATTTTTACGTATTAGATATTTTACATTTTTTTAATAATTAAGATTAAATTCTACTTAAAAAATAAATGATTAAGGGGCTCGCATTTCTACATGTCGGTCCATAGCCCGCACGCCAACCGCGTCCCCCTCTAAAAAAAACTCTCCCGCCTCTCTCTCTCACTCTCTCTCCCTCTCTCTCTAAAACGGCTCTCAGATCTCGTACTCCAATAAAATAATATTATATATATATATATATGCAGCCAAGGCTCATATTTTCCGGCATTCCGAGTCCTTCTCCGTCGTCTTGGTTGGTGCTGAGAGTGGGAGAGAAAGATCAGCAATTTCGTTTGTAGCTGTAGAGAGAGAAAGAGAGGGACGGTCTGGGATCTGCAAATTTTGTAGCATAGCATTGGCGTTTTAGAGAGAGAGAGAGAGAATGAAGGTGATTGAGAAGATCAGGGAAGCAGCGAAGGAGGACAGGACGGTGTTCTCCTTTGAGTTTTTCCCACCGAAGACAGAGGATGGCGTCGAGAATTTGTTTGAGAGGATGGAGAGAATGGCGTCTCACAACCCTTCCTTCTGCGACATCACTTGGGGCGCTGGCGGATCCACCGCCGATCTCACCCTCGACATCTCCAACAAGATGCAGAACATGGTTACTTTACTTACTACTCTCTTTCTCTCTCTCTCTAACTTGCTCTATCTCTTTCTCTCTCCAAAACTTTCTCTCTGTTTCTCTCTCTCCATTTCCAGCAATATCTCTCACTCTTGCTCTGTTCTCCTCAATTCTCATTTTCAAAAACATATATGGTCACTGAATAAGTCTCTCCATTTAGTTTTGGCTTTTCCTCTTTTTCCGCAAGTCCAACAAGTTGCAGAATGCAGAACATGGCTCACATCTCTCTCTGTGTGTTCTCCAAAATTCTCTTCTCCAACATCTATGGCTCTTGAAAATTTCTCTCTTCTTCTTTCTAGATCTCAGATCGGGACATTGCCAAAACTCAATTCTAATTTTCTTAAAATTTTCTGATAATTTGGGAATATTCTCTCCGAGGTCGCTCGCTCCAACTGTACTGTTCCTATTACATTTATTTCTGAAAAATAAATCCAATAATACCACTCGTAAGAAATTACTCAAAAAACATGCATACTTGGAATGTAGCGATAGACTTTTTGGGACTAAGTAATATGGCGTGCAATGGACTAGTAGTTAATATATTGTTGTTTTCTGACTCTTAATAATTTAAATAATTTTATTTTTTTGTTGGTAATTCATCTTTTGTTCTTTTTTTTTTCTCCTTTTCAGATTTGTGTGGAGACTATGATGCATCTGACTTGCACGAACATGCCAGTTGAGAAGATCGATCACGCATTGGATACGATTAAGCAAAACGGGATTCAGAATGTTCTTGCTCTTAGGGGAGATCCCCCACACGGCCAAGACAAATTTGTCCAAGTTGCTGGTGGATTTGCCTGTGGTCTTGACCTTGTGCGTATAGTTCTTCTTCTACATTTCTCTCTTGTAACCAGATCCATTATAAAAAGAATTTGTACATAGGTTTTATGGATGAGTTGTTGTTTTTTTGTTGTTGATCGATTGAGTTATCATTTCAGTAGTTCCATGCTTATTCTCATTGCAAAATTTTTATGATATTTTTCTCAGATATCCTCTTTTTGATTGATGAGCATGGGATTTAATCATTTGAATTCTTATTTTCTTGTTGCAGTTATTGTAGTTTTTTTCCTTCCTTTTTTTGATTGACATGAAATTCCGAACCTTTTATTTGTCTCCATTATTCTAATGGACCCAATATTTTTGATAAATTTTAGGTGCGTAGTCTATTTTCTCTCATAATTTTTTGGTATCATATTGTCTTTCTAAAGATGGGGAGAATGTAGGGCATGTGTTTTCAAACTAACGATTTCTTGGTAGAGTTTTCCTGTAAGGATTTTGCGAGAAATTACTTACCTTTATTCAAAATTTTTAGTTTGTAGCCATCATAGCTTGTGATAATTTTATTACCAATTTTAGGCTTCATTTTGTGAAAATGGCCACAGTGTTGCTACCTGATTTTCCCAGTTTACTCTTTCCTGTTTTTGACTTGATTGAAGTGCATATTCCATCAACTTTTGTGCAGGTGGCGCATATTCGAGCAAAATATGGTGATTACTTTGGCATCACTGTTGCTGGTTATCCAGGTGCTTTTTTTTGCTGCATTATTTTGCAAATTGCATTTGCAATGCTTTCTCTTGGCAACTAACTGTTTCCATAACACATATCTTCATAATTCAGAGGCCCATCCTGATATGATATCTAGTGAAGGTGGAGTCACTTTGGAAAACTATCTAAGTGATCTTGCTTATTTGAAAAGAAAGGTAAAGCTCAATCAATTTGGTCATTAGTTTGATAATCTTGTTTTGTTACTACTTCTGTTTGACTATCAATTTGGATATTGAAAAGAAATAAAAAAACACTTTCTTGAGTACTGTTACCATTTCTTTTGTTTTATGCTCTGGTGGAGGATTGCCATTTACGTTGCAATTTATATTTCTGAAAGTTACAATGAAATCTAGGTTGTAATGTTGAATATGAATGAGAAAAATTAATACATTGTCATGGAATTAGAAGTTTCTTGGCAATGGAAATGAGATCTGTTATCTTCGATTGTTAGTTATTGCTTAATGAACATATTTGTTGTTTTCTTGAAATAGTGTTCATGACTAAGCAGAGATTAAGTACTACTGGAATTAACTTTCTTTTTTAAATGTAGTCTTTTACTGTATTGCCTTGTCATGAATGCCATTCCATCTTTTTATATCATGTTTGCTAATTATTGCATCATAAGTTGCCAATTGATGAACTCAGGGGTAGGGGACTTTGTAATTACATCTGCACCTCCATGATCTATGTCCACTAAGTCTCCTCATACATTATATGCTCAAAGAATATTAAACATTCTAATTTGAAGCAACCAAACAATTAGCTGAATTTTCTTTGAAATAGAGCTGTCATATTTTACTTTATTATGGCTTAGGAGCTACTGCTTGGTGCGATTGGTGTTTGAGGATGTATAGAAGTAGCATTCACATTCTTATCAGGACTATATCCTACAAAAGAACAAACAGGAAGAAGGTTGATGATTATGTGTTAGGGCTTAGACAGCTGATGATTTAGGATTTGACTAGGAAAGTTGTGGAGGATATATGGGAAAAAGTGGAGCACCTTGAATGGTCATTGATTAGAGAAGGTGCAGTCCCAAATTAGTTCATTGGGCTTAGACAGCTGAGGATTTAGGATTTGAGTAGGAAAGTTGTGGAGGATGTATGGGAAAGAGTGGAGTACCTTGAATGGCCATTGATAAGAGAAGGTGCAGTCCCAAATTAGCTGATTCGTTACTCTGTACTATTGCTTTGGTACTGTGTCAGGTTTGTGATGATGGCTAAAACTATTTATTGAGAGAGTACATATAGGTTACCAAGCAACATGGGACATGAAATCCCCTATATACGATATCAAAGTACAATGAAGGCTAAAGATATAAATAACTTGATACGAGGAAAATATAATCAAAGTATATTCTTATGTATCATATTTCTTTGATTTGGTCAGTTTGGTTTGCATGAGGGCAATCTTTGGGGTTTGAACCCTCGAACTCCCTCTTGCTAATCAGGTTTCACATCACTAGACCAAAGATTGTGGGATTCATTATCTTCTTAAATTTTTGGGTAGTTCAGCTTCATTTTCACAAGTGAGGTTTGAATGCCCTCTCTCCTGCAAACTATGTCTCACCATTTGGCTGAAGGCCTGTTTGATGTAGGCACATTATTATCTAAATAAGCACATTATTATCTAAATAAGAATTTGTATATTTTTGTTCTTCTTCTTCCCTATGGGAAGTTTCTCTGCACCATTTCTATTATACGAGTTCCTTGATACTAATAATGATTATACTCTTTTGTAGGTTGATGCTGGTGCTGATCTTATTGTCACTCAATTATTTTATGACACAGATATATTTCTTAAGTTTGTCCATGATTGTCGTCAAATTGGAATAACTTGTCCTATTGTGCCCGGCATCATGCCCATTAATAACTACAAAGGCTTCGTGCGCATGACTGGGTTTTGCAAAACTAAGGTATATGACTTTTTCTTTTGAAGCATCTTTGGTTCAAATATAATAATTATCAACATGGTTTTTTTAATAATTGTTTAAGTTGGTTGTTTTATGTAGACATTATTTATGAAAGCATGTTAGTTGGTGTTGTTTGAATGCATGGCATCTATAGACTCTAATATGCACATGCAACAGTGGTCCAGTACATCAACTTTAAAATGTCAGACACGTCTATTTTTATCGACAGTTTTGCTATGGTATTGAATGTGAATACAATGAGGAGGGAAAGAGGTATTTACACGACTTGCTAACATAGGTGGTTAATTGAATGAAGTGACAGTACATGCATTCAAGTGAATTACAAAGTGTAAACATGTAGTTGCATCTCTTTAGTAATGATGCATATAACAAGTGTGCAAGAACCCATGTGTTGGGTGATTGAAACCCTCAGCATTTCTCTTTGTGAGGTGTTGCATACATATTCTTTTCCAATTCCCAGACTATGACTGCAAATAATGAAAGTTGGACAATTGTTGGGTGATTGAAATCCTCAGCATTTCTCCTATTTTAAATTTGTCAACTGTCTGCATTCTAATGAGGTTCTTTTGTGAAGATTCAAGAATTCTCGTTATGTCATTTGTGCAAAAGCAGGATGGGTGTGTTTCTGTGTGGCTATTAGACACAAGATTTAGAACAATGGAGCATTGGATTATGGAGAATGGGTAGTCGAAGATCACACTAACATAGTTTTGATTAAATATATCTTATTGTAGATTCCTGATGAAATTACAAAAGCCTTGGAGCCTATTAAAGATAATGAAGAGGCTGTTAGGGCCTATGGCGTACACCTTGGAACTGAAATGTGCAAGAAAATTCTTTCTCATGGAATCAAGACATTACATCTATACACTCTTAATATGGAGAAGTCAGCACTGGCCATTTTAATGGTGGGTGATCTCTACTTGCAAATAACATTGTTTCATCATGTGATAGTTACACTATATTGCTTGTTTGTCATTATTTTATTACAGAACTCATTTGAAGACATTCTTTGCTCCTTGCAGAATTTGGGGCTAATTGACGAGTCAAAGATATCCAGGCCATTTCCATGGCGGCGTCCTGCAAATGTTTTTCGTGTCAAAGAGGATGTTAGGCCCATCTTTTGGTATGATGCTAAATGAAGCTAATTATCTAGTGTAGTATTGAGCTAGTGATTTTACTCAAAGTTAATTAGGTTTGTTGTGTTAAATATCAGTTATGAATCTGTTCATTTCATGTTTGTGATGGCAGGGCCAATCGTCCAAAAAGCTACCTATCAAGGACTCTGGGTTGGGAACAATATCCTCATGGGAGATGGGGTGATTCATGCAATCCATCTTATGGAGCACTTACTGATTACCAGGTTGTTGGAAATACAGTAACCTAACTGTTCCTTGATATTGTTCTTATGCTTGGCTTTGTACACATATTATGCTTTGGTCTTATGTTGTATGAAATCCCAATCATGATCTGGCTTTTATTTTCCTTTTTTTTCCATTGCAATTAGCAGGATATAAATGATCTTCTAGGTTGTAAAATTTAGTTTAATTTTCTTCCCTCTGGTGAGTCATGAATTCTATTTTCTGTAATGTGTATATGTCAACTTTTTTTGTATAGGTATATATGTCAACTTTCGCAAACATGGTTTTTACAATCCTTTTTCTTTATAGTTCATTTTCTTTTACATGGGGTTCTGGTTTTCTTTCCATTCAAATATTTACCCTGAATTAGGAGATCTGTGTCATACGGTTTTCATTTTGGAAAAAGATAAAAGAAGAAGGATCACAAGAGCTTGCTATTATGAGTGTGTTTTCTTTACGAGCATACTGATTTCTGTTTTCCCCCTACAGCAGAAATATATCTTTTGAGAACACTGCTAGTATGGGCCAATGGTAAAAGTAAATGGAAAAGCTGTCTGTCCTTTGCATGGAGTCACTCATATGGTCATACCTTTATAAGTAAATTTGTGAAGAGAGCTAAAAAACATTATCTCTATTGTGAGTATACACTTACTTCTTGTAATAATGGCAGTTCATGAGACGGCGGTCGCGCAACAAGAAAATTCTGGAAGAATGGGCTGTTCCATTGAAATCTGTTGAAGATGTTAAGGAGGTAATCTCAAAATCAGTAGTAACATTTGTTTACCAGGAATAAATTACGTTCCTATTAGTTTTTGTGTTTAGTTATTTAGGACCGTTTCCAGCCCACCCCTCCCGGGACCCTGCTTAGGTGGGACCAGCACCGGGTTACAGCCCTTATTTAGTTATTTCCAAATGCTTTCTGAACTTCGAAATCTTTTTTTTTTAACCTTTCCCGTGTTATGTTTAATCAGAAATTTACGAACTACTGTTTGGGGAAAGTTAAAAGCCATCCGTGGTCAGAGTTAGATGGGCTTCAGCCAGAGACTTTGATGATTAATGAGAAACTGGGACAGGTTAACTCGAAGGGATTTTTTACTATTAACAGTCAACCTGCTGTCAACGGGGAAAAATCTGATTCTCCTTCTGTTGGTAAGTAAAATCCTTGAGTAAGTTGCTTTTGTTACGACAAAAAATAGAAGGGGGGAAAGAAAAAGGGTGTAAACAAAGCTATGTTAGGTATATCCAGTGTCTTAGAAATTTAGACAACAACACACATATGAAACCATGGATAAGTTTGTGAGTAGAAGAAAAAAAATGTTTAAGGAAATTGGAAATTGATACTGTGAATTGTAATATGTTTGCTGAAACAAGTGTTTTCTCCGGGGGCCTTAGAAAGGCTTGATATTTGTCTAAATTATCAACTTTCCAAGCTTTCTTTCATCAATTGATGTTGCAAAATGAAGTTTTTAGTGCAATTTCATTCAAATTTCTTTATTGTTTGCCCTCTTGTAATCTATGTGTTTCTGTGCTTGTGTTTACTCTAGGATGGGGAGGACCAGGGGGATATGTATATCAAAAGGCTTACTTGGAATTCTTCTGCTCAAAAGAGAAGTTGGATGCTCTTGTTGAGAACTGCAAGGGTCTTCCTTCTGTCACCTACATTGCAGTCAATAAGCAAGGGGAAAGAGTGTCGAACGTTGGCCCCATTGCGGTGAATGCGGTGACATGGGGTGTCTTCCCTGCAAAAGAGGTCCTCCAACCCACTGTAGTGGACCCTGTTAGCTTCATGGTTTGGAAGGATGAGGCTTTTGAGATCTGGAACAAGGGATGGGGGGTCTTGTACCCAGAAGGGGATCCTTCAAAGCAGATCCTAAACGAGGTATACAATGCTGTTCAGCTTCCTTTACCATTTACAATCCTCTCTCTCTCGCTCTCTCTCTCTCTCTCTCAAGCAAATCCATGATGAGGTATGCACATGTTTCCTTTTCCTTGCCATATATAATCCTCTCTCGCTCTCTCTAGAAATGCATACGTGCATTACAATATTCCACGGCTAGAACAATGCAATAGAAGGCCTTCAATTGTGTGTGCGTGAGAGAGAGAGAGAGAGAGAGAGAGAGAGAGAGAGACTTAAGGATACTTTCTCTTGTATGGTTCATCGCCACTGTCCCTCTTGTAAACCAAAGGTGGATATTGTACCTGTTTATGATATATATAGGTGTAAACGGGTTCGATCAGGTCTGAGTCAGGCCTGAACCGATGAGCAGAGTGGGTGGACCCGGATATGAATTGGTCAAGGTCGATCGGAACTGGACCCAACCTACTTGATTGGATCAGGTCCAGGTCAAAATATAAGAAATATATATGCATGTGTGTGAGTGTGTGTTGTAAGTTTCTATGTATAAAAATATAAAGAATATATTGGGTCAAGTCGGACCCCAACCCCCACTGGGTCCAAAATTTGGATGCCAACCAAGACACGAGTTGGTTCAACCCGTTGGGTGAGCAGTCGTCCTGACCCAATCGCTAGCCCAAGGTATATAGCACACAGGTTGCGTCTACTATATGTTCATACACACGGACACAATCTCCACCCACATCTATAAAGATGGATGTATGAAATTAAGTTTTAGGAGAGAACGAAAGAGAGAATGTGTTATCGTGCAGAGAGAGAGAGTTTTAGGTATACTATCTCTACTGTGTTTCATCTCCACCATCAATCGCTTTAACAAAAAGGTGGATGCGCTGTGTTTATTTTATATAGCACTTATGATGCCTCTGCTATACATTTCACAATCACCCATTCAAAATCATGCACGTGCACACACAATTTGCTCACATTGTTGTTTTTGTACTGAAGATAGCAATTCTAATCAATTTCAGGTGCAGAACTCTTACTTCCTGGTCAGCTTGGTTGATAACGATTATGTCCATGGTGATCTTTATGCGATGTTCAGTGACATTTAAGAACAAATACTGGTTTTTATTACATTAAGCAACCCCAAAAAAGCCTGTTCTTTTTGTTTTTCGTGATGTATTTTCGTTTCTCATGCGAGGTCTATCTAGGGGGTAGCTGTATTCTTGGATGTTAAGATCAAGTTGTTTGATACCTTGATCAGTGTATTATGATTCACAGTTATTTTTTAAACCGCATGAGTGGGATGTTCAATGAAGCATGCGCTTGAAATACTTTCTGGTCCACAAAGATCATGGAATGTATTTCATGTTTTTATATTTTTCAAAGTTAAATAATGCATTTTTATACCTATTGACGTCGTTATTAACCATAAAATGACGGTTATATATGCTAAGATTTCATATATGGCAGACTTCAATGGGTAAAACTTGTCTCAGGTATCCATATTGAGTATGTCGATTGAGATTATATGTAACACGCATTGTTTTATTTGTTGGTCATCGTTCTCAGCTCGTAAGTTATTTGCACTTTCTGTGAATTTTTTTGAAAAGGAAAAAGATCTCTTAGCATATATGCCAGAAGGCCTGACTTGGGACGTTTGTTCCGAACGAAACTCTTCTAAACTTGATTAACCAACATTCAATTGGAAGAAAAAAAGGGAGAAAAAAAAGAGCAAGCATAATAGAGAGGTCCGGGGCCCGAGAAATCATCTTTTGTATGTCTTTGTTTTCCCTCGAAAATCAGTCTTTGGGGTATTTTTCTCACCAAATGTTGATTTTTACAAAAAAAAAAGAAATCAACAAAAAGAATCCATGCTATCTCTCTCACCTCTTTGGCGAGTCTCTACTTGTTTTTTTTTTCCCTCGCCTTTTCCTCTCTCATTTCCTTCTCTTACTTTGTCAAGAGTTTCTGAGAATCGAAAAAAAGAGATTTTTTTATCAAAGAGGTACAAGCTCTTTTTGCAGGGTCCCAACAATTGTTAGAAAAACCGGGGGATCTAACCAGTAACCGTTCAATTAGATTGGAACCAGCCCTTTGCCAGTTTTGGTTTCGAACGATTTTGGTGATCGGTCGGTATTTAAAAAAAATAAATAAAAATAAATATAAAATCCCCAAAAATAAGGAATTTGATTTTTAATGCATTTTTTTAATATTTTTTATATTACGGTAAATATTACAAATTGTTTTGGTCATTAATACTCATTTTTAAAATCTATTTTTTTTCATTAATTTTCAACTTCATTTGAATGTGTTTTGTTTTAATCATTATTTATATGCTTTTTATATTTTAGTAGAGTTTTTTTTGCATCTTTTTAATTGTTTTCAACAATTTTTTGGGCGCCTGGAACTTGTCCAGTTAGAATAGTTGAATTGGCCGGTTTACCGGTTAGGCCGATTAAATCGCCTTTGGCCTCATGTTCGGCGATTAACCGTTCCGATTCGATTTTGAAAACACTGGTCCCAGCAGAATGACACACCAAAAACTGGCTCTATTTCCAACTCTCCTTCTCTTTCTATCTCTCCCTCTTTGATGGAAAAAAGAAAACACGAAAAAGAAAGAAAGAAACACCATCAAAATTGTTTTCTTTGACACACCAAAAAGCGGTTGTATTTCCCACTCTCTTCTCTCTCTCTCTCTCTTTGATGGAAACAACTACAAGAAAAAAAAAAAAACCAACAAGTGTTTTTGAGCTCTTGAAAATTATCATCCAACAAATCGATGCTTCAGACTTGTCCTTAGAGTGGGAATTAAGATGGAGCATTTTTTAGCTTAAAATCAGATTTTGCAATGGTATAGGCCTTTGGCCTATGCAATCTTCTTTTGACAAATATTTTTAAAATCGATATTTTTCAGTCTCAAAAAATTCTCATTTGGAAAATATCATATGTACAATTATATAGGTAGTGAGATTTTACAAAAGAGTTTCATTTGAAAAATGAGATCATATATATGGTGCAATCATAGTAATTAGATCATATACACGGAAAAAATTTATATAAGGATGCTACCATCCTTATAATGTAGAACTACGGATGCCCCTCAAAAATCTATCGGAAAAGGTAGTTTTAATGTTGAAAATTGATTGATCATCTCGACATCAAGATGTATGACTATGAAAAATAAAAATATTTTAAGTCTTAGAAATAGTGCATTTTACAACATATTATCTACCCCGTCCATTTTCAAGATTTTCATATGCTTATAGATCTACTTGATTTTAACTATTTTTGAAATTTAAAATTTTATAGTTAGATATAAAAATAGATTTTGAGATAATCCTAAGAATATTTTACATCAAAATTATATACGACGATAAAATTTGAAGGTGCACCTTACCTCTACACCTACAGGTGCATCCGTATACCAACTGCACCCATCTTGTAATGTAATTTTAGACCCTCAATTTTTAAAATTTTTGAGTTTTCCAAGATATGCTCGAACTATACTATTATTGATGCTTTAAATCTTATAATTAAAGATGAAAATAAAATTTAAAGCTAAATCACAAAAACTTTCAAAACTACATTTCTCAATACAATTTAAATGTGAGCTATACTTTGGTTGTTTAGAGCCTCGACCTTATACAAACCCCACCCATCAAACAATTACTAAACTACCCTTTCGCAAAAAGCAGTAAGTAAGCAAGCCTTCGATGAAAAGGCGGCACAGGCTCGTCAGGAGTATCTGAATTCCTAAAAAGTCCAGGTCTCTCCCTCTCGAAAACTGAATTTCCCAAAAGTTCATTTCTCTTTCTCTCTCTAATAAGTTATTTATCTCATTCAACTTTTTTCCCAGCTCTATTTCTGTTATTTGATTTTTAAGTATTTATAATTTTTTCTCTTTCCTTCCATTTTCTCAGTTGCAAATTTCTCTTAGGGAATCGGATTGTGTCATGTATTTATTTATAACTTTGTCTTTTGTAAATAGTTTTTAATTCATATACTACAATCTCATTGTTAGTTACAAATGATATCAGTCAATTAGCTAAGGAGGTGAAAATTCAGATTCGGAGTTATAACAAAAGTAACTTTAATATGTTTATTTATGGGATTAATCGGTCAATTTCTAGGTTCATTTTAATCTAAACTGCTTGTTTTCTACTTGGGTTTGGTGGCATTCTTCACAGTTTCATTTCTTGAATCTTATTTCATTATTTCGTTCTTTTAAAGTGGAAAGTGGGAGCTTTTTATGTAAAATGCATGATAAAAATGCATTGAAATTGAAGGAAGTCATTTTTTGCAGTAATTTTATGCTGGTTTATTTTCCATTTTACAGTGTGCATGTTTAGTTGCATTACTTGTTATCTGTTTCTTTTGTATGTGTTTGCTTGTTGATTTAAATACCAAATTTTGTCTTTAAAATCTTTCATATCTGGATTCATTCATAGTTGAGGTTCATTAGAATGGAAAAATTACCTCTCCCAATATCAAGAGTTGTTGATTTGAAGAAAAAGTTTTTTAAGAGGGAAGAGCTACTAGATATTCTGCGACACCATTTTGGGCATTCTGATTTTAGAGGCAGGCAATTAGATGCCATTGAAGCTGTATTATGTGGTTTGTAATTCCTCCTTTAAAACTTTATCAATGTTAAGCTAGGTTTGTAATTTTTAATTCCATCTCTCCTAAATAATTATTGATGGGAAGTTAGGTTATTGGCTAGCTTTTGATGTTATTCTACATTCATTCTCTTACTGTGCTACAGTAACTACATTTCCATGACACAATTTACAATTTGAAGAAATCAAGTAAATGATCGTATGCCCTTCTTTATTTGTTGAATCAATGTTTTAAAACAAGGATTTGGGTCAGGGCTTGCCACGGTCCCAAGCCCAAGTCACTTCTGACAGAATCGGACGTGTCCTTAAAACATAATGATAATATTAAAATATTGGGAATTGCCATGGGTTTGGTTTTGGATTAGGTAGCCTGCCAAGTCCATGTTGGACATGCCAAGTTTTCATTCACTGTTTTGAACAATAAGATTTTTGGGGCAATGCAGGTCCTAATGCCTTTTTTTTTTTGGGAGAATGTGGTCCTAATACTTGCTTTCACAACAACTGCAATCTCGTTGGCATAGTTATTTACATATGAGAGCGAGACCATTTGGTGAAGAAACCAAAATTGATAGAATGTTCTAGAGTTGTGGTTTAACACAAAAAAAGTGAAACTAGAAAGAGTGCACGACATTGATTTTGCATCATACATTACCCATTGGCTTTGCACCATACATTGTTATTTTCATGGATTGGAAAGAGAACAATATGTATGACAACTTTTGAAACTACAGATTTTTTATTTTTAAAAATATAGAATGAGATCTGTACTTCTGCATATTTAATTTGGCATCAATTAATTTGCCAGAAACATTTGATGCCTTTATTATCATGGAGGTTTAATTTTTTATTGTGAGTTGAATTTTTATGAGTTTGGCAATATAAATATATATTTTGTGAAGCGTAAATGAGGGATTAAATCCATTGCATAAATGAATAATCAGTTAAAATGACTAAGATACTATAATAAACTACTGATCAAAAACTATAAACCCCCTATAGCTTGATTATTTTGATTGAGATATTCTTATGGACCACAGTAGTTCTTTTTTTTGGGATAACAATATGGACCATATTATGTTAAGAAGCAATTGAAAGACTGAAGACAAAATTTAATACAACATAGTGAATAACTTGAGTAGGTGGACTTTGTTGAGCAAAACTTGTGCTGCTTAAGACTTTGGTGGCTAAATCAAATGGCTGATATGTTCAAGATGTATGAGAAAGATAAAAGCTGCTGTAAGCATCTCCTAAGTTAAGTGACGATCATTCCATTTGAATATATTTTACTAATGAAAATCTGGGTTATAATCGATATTGATGTTGTTTTGTTCTGATAGAACAGTGAAGAAGATGGAGATGCTAAATGGGCATAAATGCATGCATGAGACATAGCACCATTTTATAATTTCCTTTGGATGTCATGATTTTTGCTTTTCCATGATGGAAGAGATGCTGTGAAAACCAGTTACAATCCTCTCTGAGTATTTGGATATCTGACCCCATATCTTTACAAATATGTTACTTAGCTGAGTTGCCATGAAAGGAAACATTTGTCACCCTTTGCCTACAGTTTTGATTTGCGCCACAAATGAACCCTTCGAGGTTATTCTTAGTTAGAGGTCAACTGGCATATAACCCACGAGAGGATCTGATAACAATTAAAAGTGACATATGGAACAATACCTGCCATACTCAATGTATTTTTTCTTTATTGATCCACAAAAAATGTTAAGATCTTTACCAAAGAACAAGGGCTATTGGTTTCTATTGTATTCTAGACGTACATAGCATTTCTCAAAAATTCGAACAGTTTGATTAAGGGTAACCTGGCAGCTGACTCAATGCTATGGCGTGAGATTTGAATACACATCCAAGGATTGGATGTGTATATATATCATTATTCATGCTTCCCAACTAGGTCCATGCATACAAAGTGAAAACTGCTGCATATATTTGTTTATATATCCATATGTATTTCTATTTGGTGTTACATAAGTATATGCATATATGAATAAATTTATATAAGGTACTAATGTGAATCTAATACGCTCTTGCTGACAAAAACTACTAAAATGAGGTTGTAAACAATTCGTTTCTATTGGAGTGCTGACACAAGACATGCAGAAATATGGAGTTATGCTTTGCATACTGAGATTTTGAAATACTGCAGTTGTTTTGTGATTATCTGTATCTTCTTGAGAGGGTCTTTGTATACTGCACTGGGAATGTGGGTGGTCGCTTTTTGTAACTTGTATACCTTTTCATTTTAATACAAAGTTAACATATTAAAAAAAAAATTCTGTATTTTCATTTTAATACAAAGTTAACAGATTAAAAAAAAAAATTTCTTTATCTTCCTAATCACCCATGGTGAAACCTACTATTTTGCTTGAAGTTTATGAATTATGGCATGATTTGTATTTACAGGAAAAGATTGTTTTTGTCTCATGCCAACTGGAGGGGGAAAGTCACTGTGCTACCAGGTTCCTGCAGTGGCCCAAAAAGGCATCACTCTGGTTGTTTCCCCCTTGATAGGTGCGAGTTGCCATTTTCATTTTCAGATGAGGTTCCAAGTTTTAGCATAGACTTTTAAGGGGTTCATTCCAGAAAAGTTCTAACAAGTGATTTGCACCTTTTTCCCATCAAACCTTAACAGCATTGATGGTACGCATTTTATGGCTTTCTACTTACCATCCTGATTTTATTGGCCCCCTGTAATTTTTGGTACTTAGCTTACTTGTTTGTGAACAGGAAAATCAAGTAACAGCACTAAAGAAGAATGGAATCCGTGCAGAATATCTTTCTTCTAGTCAAAATCCCCAAGCTAAAGAGAAGGTGAGTTTTGAATGACTATTACATGTTTTTATTCCTATCTATTATTTTCTTTTAGGTTGACTTTAGTTTGTCTTGCGTAGATTTATGAAGACCTTGACTCTGGGAGGCCATCATTGAGATTGCTATATGTGACACCAGAATTGATTGCCACAAATGGGTTCATGTACAAGTTGTTGAAACTTCATGGTAGAAGTCTTTTACAGCTTATTGCTGTGGATGAGGTAGGTGACTGTAGTTTTTTGTATAGTTCTGTTTTATTATGGATAAAAAATGTGATTGAGATATGCATGTTCCTCCATGTCACAGGCTCATTGTATTTCAGCATGGGGCCATGATTTCAGGTCAGTGGAGTAATGGTCTGTTCTGACTGGCATGGTTCATACACAGCCAAGGTGTCTGCCTCCATTCTCAAAACATGTGGTGGAGATGAACTGTCATTCTGATGACTGATGTTAATGCTGAAATCGTGGTTCATCTCTGTCATTCCATCATTGAAACAAATGGTGGATGCCTTGGATGTGTATTGTACAAGTGTATTGTGTACGGTATACTTTTCCAGAAAGAACAAATTCCCATATTCTTGCCTGATTGTCTGAAGAGCCGTGTGCTGCATTAATGTGAATTTGGATGCACAAATTTTGTGGTCTACCTTCCATGCTTATGAAGTTGCCTGCAATTCAGGCCCAGTTATCGCAAACTTTCATCCCTAAGGAAGCGCCTTCCTGGTGTTCCAATATTAGCCTTGACAGCTACAGCTGTTCCCAAGTAAGTTAGTAAGACTTTATGCAGTTTATTGAGTTCAATGATTTTGGAAGATGGTGAATCTACTTCATTTTGGGGTATTTCCTAAATTTTATTTTTCCTGATTTGAATATCTACATACGTTGTGCACATGTAAGAGGCACATATGGAGCCATGGTGTATAGCTCAGTCTGGATTCCTTAAATTACAGAAAATGCATAATGTTTATGCCTGTTTGGTACCAACAACTTTATGGAAGCTGCGATATGTTTAGCCTTTCCAAAGAAGAGCTCAATTTTCTCTGACTGTCGATCCATTAACGACTTGCTAACAAGAATTTGCTTTGACTGATTATTATAATCAAATGGAGCCTTTGACACCGCAGAGTTCAGAAAGATGTGATCGAATCCCTATGCATGCAACATCCTTTAGTTCTTAAGGCGTCATTTAACCGTCCTAACATATATTATGAAGGTATGTTTTCTGTCACTACAACTTCTTGAAGTAACTCCCTATATTCTTTTTTGATAAGTAACAATATTGAATAACTTTTAAGAAATATTACGATGTAAAGAAAGAACTAATAGAATTGTTTTATTTCCCTTTTGTTGTGAGGTTTTAGTTAAAGAAAGTGTGCTGGCCCTGTTTTCTTCAGTTTGTATGTTATCAGAAATACTATATTCTGTCATATTTTAAGCTATTTAAACGATATGTATCTGTCCCATGCTATGCACATCTTGAAACCAAATGGAGACAATATTTCTCTAATTATAGCAACAATTCTCTTCTTTATGTGAATGGAAAGCAGTTTGCCCTTTCTATGTGTCATCATCAGAGCTTGTCCTTTGTATCCAATATTTGAAACAATTTCTTTCGTACATTATAGAAATCCACAAAGGTTTTCAGTTTCTGATATGAAATTTGGAAAATCTGCTATAATCCATTGGAGTATGATATCTGCTACTCCAAAGGGGTCTCCACTGTCCGTTTCTGATGAGGATCAGTGGACATTAACTTAGTGGGGCTCATAGTGTTGTTAACCCTGGTCCACTTAATCTATACTCCATTGGATTATGGCATGCTTTCCTATAAACATATGTTGTTTTCTAATTTATCTGTATTTATGTAAATTATATATGTGTAATTCTTTGACACTATCATGTGCATGCAGTCCGATATAAAGATCTCCTTGATGATGCTTATGCTGATTTATTGACTCTTCTGAAGACAAGTGGAAATGTTTGCTCAATTGTATATTGTCTTGAACGTTCCACCTGTGATGATCTCGGAGCTCGTTTGTTGAAGGATGGCATTCCTTGTGGCGGTAATCAACATTAATTTTTGTAATACATATATAAGCACCTTTCTTTTGTATTGATGCGTATGATTTTATTTGAAGTATATGTTTTCTCTCGTCGTGACGTTGTCGATTTTGTTCCTTTACCAGCACTTTTGTGAAGCTGCTAGTTTTTCTGAGCCTGTACCACTACTTCTTTTCAGTGTATCATGCAGGGTTGAATAATAAAGTTCGGAGTCGTGTTCTTGATGATTGGCTTTCTTCCAAAACACAAGTTGTTATAGCTACCATTGCTTTTGGGTAACTGATTATTCCAGCAATGTCATTCATTTTGGAAACAAAATAGTACAATATGTAATTAACTGGACAATTATATGCCATGTTGACTTCACTTGACCCGTTGTGATGGTGGATGGATGTGATATGTGATTTGGCGCTCTTTCAGAATGGTAAGTATCTGAGTGTTGGTTTGTTATATCTTGGGAATAGTGCAATCCAATACTTTCTTTTTTTTAGCATAAGGTAAATTCTAGATCATGCCTATTGTTATGGAGTGGCAATGGCTTATGCTGTACTGCCACTAAGTGCAGGGTATTGATAGGAAGGATGTCCGGATTGTGTGCCATTTCAATATTCCAAAGTCTATGGAGGCTTTTTACCAAGAGTCTGGACGAGCTGGACGTGATCAGTTACCTTCAAAAAGTGTGTTGTATTATGGCTTGGAAGACCGAAGAAAGATGGTTTGTCTACTTTTATTTGTCAAATTTCCTGACAATTGCCTTTGAGGTCCATATGCAACTCAGTCACCTGTCTCACAGGAATTTGTTTTGAGGAATGCTGCTAACTCTAAAGGAAACAAGCTAAACTCTCAGGATCACCAAATTGAGAAGTGCCTTGCTGACTTTGCTCAGGTCTCTCTTTCTCTCTCTCTCTCTC